TTTCCTTTCCTTTCCTTTCCTTTCCTTTCCTTTCCTTTCCTTTCCTTCCTTTTCTCCCTCCCTCCCTCCTTCCCTCCCTCCCTTCCTCCCTCTCTCTCTCTCTTTCTTTCTTTCTTTTTCCAGTAAAGGCATTTCAAATTAGTTTATTCCCTTCAAAGAACTAAATGCTTATCTGATACAACACCAAGAAATGAAGCGAGAAGCATGAAGTTATATGCAGTGTAGATGGGGTGTGGGCCTGAGAAGAGGCAAAGGGTAGTTGTGGAATTATCTTTGCAATTAAAGAAAACATGGAAGTCAATCCAAGAACAGCCAAATATAGCTGAAGACAAGTTTGTAGAATGATGTAACATGACATTGTAAAATGCACTGATAGGCTCCTTTACTTATCCGCATGTTATTTTATTCACTGACTTCAGCAGAAGATTGCAGGCACAGAGCAACAGAGAGTGCAGTGGAAGGGCCGCATACTCCACACACCTCATAGAGCAGGGGGCAGAGAGCAGCCAGTACAGTTCCTAGCTTCCTGCCAGTCAGACCTGGCACCTGAGGTGGCACTCCTGGGCCCTCCTCTCTGTGGCACCTCTAACATCTTCTGGGTTCCAGCTCTCGGGGCTCTTTTTGTGCTTGGTTTCAGCTGTGGGGAATCACTCTGGCTTCTCTCTCTTTTTCTGTCAGGGTCCCAGGATCTGCTACCCTCTCCCATCTGACAATTTGTAAATCACCTGCTTTGACCACGCTTTCTTGGTGATGCTCCCCTAAGAAGCACCTATCAAGAATTCTTGCTTATGTTCTCATTCTTCTGAATGAGCCTGTCTTAGCTGGAGATGGGAATTGCCTTTCAAGATGACAAACATGATTTTGGCAGTAGGTGGCACAGACAGAATGCTTACCATGTACAAGACGCTTGCTAAGTACTTGGGATGTACCTAATTTACCTGATTCAATAGCTGCTCTTGCTATTCCTTCATAATCTGTGTTAATTCTTCAGGTGCCCATCTTGCTGTACTCATAGCCCCAGGAAACCATGGCACATTTTGAATATAAGAACATAGGCTTATCCATAAAAGTCTGTGAGTTACCTGCACCATTATCCAGCAGTTGTAGCTCTGTTGTTTTTCCATTATTTGATTCTATAATAGCTGTCACATGGGCTCCAATGATGGGAGTGTATCCTTGTAGAACTTCTGCATAAATGATCATTGGGTTGGGGAAGCTGCCTGTGTCTTTGTCCATTTTAGCATTTATAGTGATTGGCGGCACAGAAGAATTTGCTGCCCGAGAGGTTACTGTAATTGTTAGTATTTCTTGCTTTACTTTGGCTTTAAGGTTGTAAGTCCAAATGCCCACCTAAAATTTTCAATTGAAACATACAGAAAGTATTTAGAGTCCAACTACATCGTTTTCCATGATTAAAAATAATTTAAAAATAGAGCATAGAAGTAAAAACAAAACAAAACAACAACAACAACAAAACAACTTGAGTTTTGTGTGCTCTTTGAAAGGTCTTAATTCTTTAGGCACTGAAGTGGAGACGGGCAGGGAGCATGGTTAGTGTTATGCATGATATTTACATTTTGTGATATCTCAATTGGAAAATATTGTTTTGATAAGCATGCCTTTGCTTTGGCCTTATTCTTTGGCCTCAGTCTCATATATTCTGACTCTGGCTGGAACAATGAAAAAAGATGGCACCCTAAACCACACAGACTCTTCATGTTTTTTCCTTAGTGTTCTCAGACACCTTCTCTTTTCCATCAATCCATAAACTCTTTTTACCTTTACCCAGACTTCATAGTTTTCAGGAACACACAGGTAATGAAAGTACATATATTTTGCTTTCATTTTGGAGATGGTAAAATCATTGGCAATCACATTCATGATGACTCTAGAGCCTCTTTGGAAAAAATAATTCTTTTCGGGGAAATTAAAAGGCTAGTGGCTTACCTGAGCTGTCCCTGGGATAGTGAGATAGGCCATTTTAGAAGGTATGTCCACTGTGAAATTTGTGATTTGTGTTCCTTTGGGATCCCTGAGATAAATGTCAGGAGCTTGATTTGTCCAGGTAATAAGAAAGAACGTGTCCTTTCCCACTGTGCTGTCAATGACTACAGTGTCATTCAGCCAGAGATCTTGGCTCAATATGGCACCCTTACTTTCAAGCTGTTTAAATGTAAAACAAACAAACAAACAAACATAGAAGAAAATGTTTTTTTTAGACTTATAAAGACAATTCTTTATATTTGATCTGAAACAGTCTTACATATGTTGAACTACCTTAGACTCCCCACCCCCTCTCTCCCCTTTCTCTCTCCCTCTGTCCTGCACAGGGTTCTTGTTATGCAGTCGTGGTTGGTGGTCTCCTGCCTATGTGCTCTGGAGTGGCTCAAACTCCTGGCAATCTTCCTGCCTCTCCCTACCAATAGATTTGCTACAGTGGCAAGGTTGGCAATACATGGTCTTAAGAAAGGGTAGGGCATAACAGGAGATTTAAAATGGAGACATCAGTAGAAAACTGAGACTGATCCTGCTATACATTCTTAGTTTTCTGGGAAAATGCTGGATCTGAGTGTTGGCATTAAAGGATGCTAAAACCCACAGAGAATTAGTAGAGGGTATGTGTGGATGTGACATACTCATCTTGCTGATGACCTAAAAGGTAATACTTGGGGTGATTAGGGTAGTTTAATTGAGGCAGAGGCAAAGGCTTCCACAGTAAAAACAAAGCTGAGCTGGGACTCAGCTCAGCAGTAGGACACTTGCCTAGCATTCGGAGGCTCTAGGTTCAGTCCCTATGAACACAGGAAAGAGAACTGAGACAAGCATCCTCGAAGAGATTGCTAATGAGGAATCTTTAAGTAATTTTTCACACAGGATTGAAAGTGAAGCTTTGGAAATGGAGTCTGTCTAAAAGAGGAAAAACTGATTGTGGAGACTAGACTCCTGAAAAGAAAGAAAACAAAATATAGGGTCTTCTCTGAGAGGAGCAGTAGAGGAACTATTCATTTTTTTGGGTAGTTCTTAGTTGAGAAGAGACAGCATATTAAATTATTTTTGAAAGTTACAAAATTGCATGTTTATCTGAAAACACGTTGTTTTGAAACATTATGGCTATGAGCCACCATGTGGGTTCTGGGAATGGAACTCAGGACATTTGGAAGAGCAGAGAATGCTCTTAGCCACTGAGCCACCTCTCCAGCCCCTGTTTTGAAACATTATAAATGGGCTAAATTAAGCGAAGTAATATAAGCATTTCTACAGTACCCATCTTCTTATTTTACGACAAAGATAATTAAATCTACTTTCTAATCAATTGCCCCAAATATGATACACATGCTATTGATTATAGTCATTACTATGTTTATGAAATAAATCCCCTGAACTCACCTATTATTTAACTGAACGCTTGTGTTTATTTCCCAGCATCCCCCACCCCTCACATCTGGACAGATGCTGATTATGGTTCTATTTTTTACCATGTAAATTCAGCTCTTTAGGATTTCATGTGTACATGAGATCATCTTTGTGTGCTTGATTTATTTCACTTAACAGGAAGTCCTAGGATGCCCAGCTTTATCCGTAAGGGTGCTTCCTAGAGGTGCCACTTTAGGAACACTAGACTGAATGTACCGTTTCTACTCGAACCCCCAACAGTTTCATCCCTGATAGGAGCAACACAATTATTTAAAGAGTCTCTCTCTGTTGTCTAAAATCTTAGTCCCAGATAAGCTGGCAAGTCTTTAAATGGATGCAGAGTAAACTTGAATGGGAATGCCACCCACACTTTTTGTCTCTTCACCAGCAAAGTCTCAGGAAACAAGGTCACTTTGGTCCCACAATGGTATAAGGAGAAATAAATGTGGGGTGCAGCTTTCCCTTTGAATTCCAGATGCCACCCCTAAGCCCCATTCCTCATCAGCTCAGATTATTGTGCCATGCTTCTAACTGGTCGCTATTTACCTTCATAATTTCCATCCATCATGAATATGAAAACAGATCAACTTTGAAAATTTGTGCTTTCTTTTGTTTTGTTTTTTTTTTCTCTATTTTAGACCTTACCACATGTATCTTAAACGAGAAAAACAGAATTTTATTTCTATTCTTTCCACACATTAAAACAAAAGAAACCAAACCAACCTAAGGTCTCAAACGTCTCTTACACATAAATGTCTCCTTTCCGTCTGATTTCATTTATGCTGCCCTTATACCTTTTCTTAGTTATAGCAACAGTAACAACAAAATCTACAGAGATGGAAAACTGCTGACCTGGAGTGGCTTCTGGGTGATGTCAGCATTTTCTGAAGTAAGGGCCCCAAAAGCGTCAACAAGACCATTGTTCTGGGCTTCATCTGAAACGAAGAGATGCTTTCCGCCTAGGATGTGAACAAACAGGCCACGTTGTTTTGTAGAACAGGAAGGAGTACTTATCGTATTTTAATGATTAACAAGGTAACAGTTCAAATAAAGTCAAAATCTCCATGTGGGTTAAATTAAATGGTCAGAAAGCTGTTAAGATCATCGCTGAAATGATAGTTTAATACATCATAACTGTGAAGCAAAAACTACCTTATTACCTCAGCATAGAAACCCCAGTGGCACAAGGTGTGTCATTTGTTCATAGATATGAAAGGTATTATGATTCTACATATTTAAGTTCACAGATTTTGTACAGCCTTTTAGGGGAGTTATTAACTCTTAGATTAGAAGCAGAAATTGGAAATTTGAAAGAACTGCTGTACTGAGGTGTCTTGACAATAACTAAATATTGGTTAGAATATTCAAGACAAAAGTAAATTGTACAAATAGCCATAAAAGAGTTTGAAATTATAGGAGTTTGTCTAACCAGCCACAAAAAAGCAAGTATATATATCTTGTACCATGAAAGCCAAATTAGTATAATAATTGATACTTGGGTTATTGGCTCTGTATTCTCTGCAATGTTTAAGACGATACTAGAAACATGAAATCACTTTTCATCATATCTGTATACTAAAATAAGTTACTGTAGTTAATGCTTATTAATAAATTTTGTGTTTTTTCATTGTCTTTTACTCCTGCAGAAACCCAGACTTTGTTCAAGGCCCATCTCAGGAGCCACTTGATTTCATATACCTCCTTTCTCTTTCCTGCTACAACATTTTGGGAGCATGGAAGGCTTGTCTGTTTCAATTAAATTACTGTCTATACTTTTCCTTATATGAAGGAATGTAATCTATGTGTTTGGTGTTTAGACTGACCATTTTATGTGTCTTTTCCAGCCAATTGGACAAAGACTGTGATGACAACAGAGGTTGGGTCTGTTCGCTCTTGTCCTTCAATTTTTGGCCTGGATTTTGCAGAATGGAGCTTAGGAGAAGTACTTGAGTGTCAGCCCTACATTTAGACACAGCGATTGAAAGTCTGTCATATAGTGATCATATTTCACCTGTTAATGCGCTCATGTTTATTACAGCCATATCAGCATCTGGTCCCAACGCAATGAAATGAATTACGGACCCGCTGTTTTTCACGTCATTAATACAGGTTTTGGCAGTGTTGTCCTCCCCATCACTCAACAGCAGGATGTCAGTTCCACCTACTTGGAAACCTTTTCCTTCAAATGCCTGCAAGCATAATTCAGAATTTCATTATCATACTAGATCAGCTATCCTGATGGAAAATTAGAAAAGGAAACTATATAGAAAATGTGTAGGATAGAGATAATTTCTGTTCTACAAGATAGTTTATGCTCAATAATTTTTGAAGAACATAAACATAATATTTTTCTGTCTTCTAAATGCAGGGGCTATTTGTTCAAATGAAAGATAGGTGTGATCAGGAATTAGAAAAAAACTCACATGGACTAAATGACAGTGACATCTGACCCTAAAAAGCCCAAACAAATAGATACTTAAAGTACGGAATGCATTTTCTTCCCCTGTTATCCTCTGACAAGCCTACAGGACACAAAATCAGTTGTATAGACAGCCAGATGCAGTAAGCATTTGTGACAGCATTAAAAGGTAATGAACTCCAAAGTAGAAAACCCTTAAATACTGAAATAACGGGGGCTAATGGTCTAAGCGTGTTAAAGTTAGAGATGAGACATGCTCGCTCAGATGTCTAACCATAGATGATCTTGACATTTTGAATCCTTGTAGCTTTATCTCCCAAGTGCTAAGATAGCATGTATCAAAGGTTTGTTTTCCCGTGTGTTTTGTCCTGAGCCTTTGGAGATTATGTTAAAACTATGAGGCAAGTAAGAGCAGCAACCCTTCATGTTAAAATGCCCTAAAAGCAAAACAAAGAACAAGATACATGTGGAGTAGGATTTTCACCTGAAATGCAGCTTTGATTCCGGAGCAGATGGAAGTCCCTCCGCCGGGAACTGTAGGTAAGGTTTCCATAAGCTTCTCTCTCTCGGTGTCACTCTTTATTTGGATGAGCCCACTTTTAATTGTGCCCTGGCTATTAAAGTGTACCATCCCTACCCAGGAGCCATTTTCAATGATCTGCACTAGAAAGTACTTTGCTGCTTGGTTCATTCGATTGAGACGGTCACGCAGCTGTGTGAAAATGGATAAGGAAAACAAAAATAAAAAACCTGAGCGATTTTCAACTGGAAGATAAGAGCAGATCTCATAAAAGAAGTGCATAAAGTTTATTAGCAAGCATTGTACAACTATTACTTTGTACTTTGAAGAAAGCAATTTTAATTTTTTCACGGTAAATTAATAAGTGTGGTTATATGCAATATGAAGAAACTCATAGCTTTCCACTAGAGCCAATTCCAAGTTGCTAAGTGCCCAAGTTAAGAGCGGAGCTTGCATTGAAGCTAAGGCTTTACACCTTTGTAACACAATTCACATCCTAATCACTCCTGTTAAGATAAACTCATAACCCAAGGTTCAAAACCCAACCAGACTCCCTTGGTCTCCAAGTGGAGGAATTCAGTAAGGAAGAGTGACACTTGCTGAGGTACAGTTAAGTACCTGAGAAGGCCAGCCTACTCTGCCCCTTCTACTTCTAGCCTTCCCTCACTTCTCCATCACTGGGCTGACTGATTGCCTTTTGGTAGTTCACCATCGAGCATGTCTGTCTTAACTAGATGCGTGCTAGGAAAGTCCCCTTTTATACATTTACTTTCAGTAGATCCTCCCTGCAACCCATACCCAAATTTGCTCATGAACTTCTTGAACCAAATCACAACAAAAATTCCCATGTATCTACAATTTTGCTTTGTCTGCTTGTCTTTCATTCTCTGTTCTGATTTTTATTACATTTATTTTGTGTGTTGAGTTTGTGGGTATGCAAGGATACTTGTTCCAGAGAACACATGTCATGGCATACGTGTAGACGTGAGAGGACAACCACGGGAGTCCGTTCTTGCCTTCCACTATTTGAATTCTGGAGTTTGAATCATCTAGTGTGTGTGTATGCCATGGTGTCCATAGGGCAGTCAGAAGATAGTTTTGTAGAGTCCATTTTCTTCTGATAATTGAACTCATGTTGTTCGGTTAGTGTGGCAAATGATTGAGGTGTTGAGCCACCTCACCAGCCCTGCTTTGCCTTTAAGCATGGATCTACCAGTACCCTGTCTAGGGTAGGCTGTTCATCTCTGAATCAACAGTCTCTTTGCTCCTCAGTGACATTTCTCAGGCTACTTGTGGGTAGAAATTTTGAGCATTCTCCTGTCTTCCATGGGATCTTGTGTTGTTGTGGTTTACTGCATCAGTCTATCATTCTTTGCCCTTTCACTAATCACCTTCCCTCATTTGCCAACACTTTAATTTCTGCTTTAGCCTGTCTGTCTCACCCTCACTGAACAGCTGTTCTGAGTGCTTTATTACACTACACCTGCTTGTTTGCGGCTCATATTCATTTCAACAGCTACCAATTGGTCACACATATGTTATGAACTCTGGATCTGATGAGTTTCTGGTTCCCAGTGGAACTCTTAATCTTGTCGGGAGGAGCACAGGCAGTATCAAAAAAATACACAAAAGCAGAGGTGTGCAGAGGGCAGTTTTGGAATTGGCAAAAGGATTAGAACCTAAACAGCACCCCAGGAGTCCAGCCCTTCTCTTGGTGGAAATAAGCATCTCTCCTAGACCGTGGAAGACAGGAATGACTTGGGCAAGTAGGCAAGGCTCAGAAGAAAAGAAAACATTACTGGACTATAAAAATATCTGCTTTTTTTTTCTTTTGTTTTAGGAGAGAGGGTCTCGCCATGCAACCCAGCTGGCTGTGAACTTGCTTTGTCTCCCAAATGCTGGGATTACAAGAACATGCTTCCATGGCTCAGCCTAAATGAACTCCAAACTCCTCAAACTCATACAGCTCTGTTTTCAAAGTCTAGCACAACGCCTGCCACTCAGTGCATGGTGCTAGAAGGAAGGAATGACCGCATGCAGCCATTTGTTCCTCGTGGTGATGCTTTTCTTTTTATGTTGGAGAGCACTTGAACACTTGAGAAATGACATAACATCATGTAGGCATTCTGCTAATTAATCCTGCTGCCTGAGCTAAAATGGAGTGCATGTACTGGCTGATAGAATGTCCCACTCTCATTCTCTTAAGTATTTCATGTGGAAGGTCCATTGTTAAAAGGATTTCATTTCAATATCTTTTTCTGGCTAAAGGCTATCAGAGTTCTCCTCATTCAGCTACACAGTTTCTGGAACAAAGTGTTTATCCTTAGTTTAGCTGTTCTGAGATATCTTTCTCTAAGTATAATATATTTTTTCAATATGTTTCAGGTCATGGTCTCAGGAAGTAGTAGTACTTTATGACATCATGGAATTAAAAAAAAATCCACATAACAAGTCCTGCTTAGGATGTGTTTTCATGGTTCAGTTATTCCTATTTCTATACTCAAAATAAAAACAAAATCAAATAGAAAAACAACCCCATGAACTTACAGACATACTCCCAGACACATCAAGAACCAGGCACACGATTCTTTCACTGATCTTCAGCAACGAGAAGATGGGTGGGGAGGGTAGTAGCTCCATGGGCACACTGTCTCTAAAATCCTCAGATCTGCTGATTACTTCCCACGTGCTTCTGTAATCGCACTTCTGATTATGGGGAGTGGGAGCCTCTCGATTATGGTTTTCTTCTTTACAGAAGCTGGTCACCTGAAGTATAGTAAAATGTAGAAAATTACTATTCCAGGTATTTAAAATGATCTGAAAAACTGAGCCAAAATATGTCCGGTGTTGGAATGTAAAAGTAATTATGCTGGTCTAGCAAAGCGGCCATAGTTGATTTTTTGAGAAGGTCCATGACCTCACTAGCCATGGATTCTGGCTCGGTGACAGTACCAGGCACGATTTTCCTCCTTTTGAGTGGACCTGAAGTTTAATTACATAGGCGTTGGTAGCCACCAATATGCAAGTGCCATAAATGGCATTTTTATGAATATCTTTGCCATGCTGGTCATTGTCATGGCTTATATGTGTTGCAGCTGGAGAGATGCTTAATTGCTTTTCTCCCTTAGCACGTGCATGATATTTTCTGGAACCATGGAAGCTAGACCTCAGGAAGGAGGCTTTCAGATCAGATCGTGCTTGAGTCATGTGAGTCCCATGTCCTAAATGTGCAGTGTATTCAGCAGTAGGGGCTAACTCTCAAGCCCTGAAAGGCAATCGAGGACTACACCAAATACATACATACATACATATATATATGTATATATGGTTCTTGTGTGGGGACACTATTAGCTCAAGTGTCTTAATGTCTCTCCTCTCTCTCTCTTACTCTCTCTTTCTTTCTTTCTCTCTCTCTTTCTCTGTCTCCCTTCGCCCTTCTCTCTCTGTGTTAAATCTTATGCAAATAAAATATAAAATAATATAATTTCTTGAGGCTTGATTAAACCACCTTGATGTTATTTGTGCCTTGTCCCTCTTCCTTACATCTTCAGATAAGTGTAACTATCACCCTCATCCAAGAAGCCTCTGTTTATCGAAAATGGGGGCCATCGCAGAAAATCACAACTAGATACAGTGCAGAGATCAACAGACCATGTGGAGCCTAGCCCCAACAGATACCTCTACATTATAGTTCCTGTATCTATGACTTAGGGACCGTCATTCAGAGGGGGTGGAAAGAATCTAAGAGCCAGAATACCAGGAAGTCTTCTGTGACATATTCTGTATGAGAAATGGCTGCATAGACTTAAACAGTGGCATTGTCAGTGGACATGGTAACGCAGAAGAGTAGACTTTCAAGGGGTCCTACCCCTAGACAAAGAACCACAGGCAACCAATGATTGCTGGGAGAAGAGAAATTAGCCTCTCCTTGAGATGAAACACCTAATTGGTTTTTCAATGCAGAATTGGCCTCCTTGAACCATATACATATCACCAAGGAAAACAGATTCAGCAGGTTAAATTTAAATGTAATTTAAATATATTTAAATAAATTTAAATATAATGCATACTCACATATGCATGTATGTAATAATGGTAATAAGAGGAAAGGGGGCTGTTGAGAGTGGAGGGCATGGGAGTGGTCTGAAGAAGGTTAACTGGGAGGGTTCAATTTCAATTAAAAACCTATTTTAAAAAAACTGAAGGGAGAGATATATTGTATTTAGCAAATATGCATTGCTTAAGTGAAATATAATTAATACTAAAGTAGATTCATTTTTATTATAAGAGTTAACAATAATTATCTAGTTATTAAATACAACGGTGTTAATAATATATAATAGTAGATTAGTATTTACTATCTGTCAGTGTTCAATGAACTACATTAACATATTTAATCCTCATGTCATATTTAAGATGAGATATCTCAGGTGCTAGAGTGCTCAAGCACCTAGCACTGTGTAGTGCATTGCTTTCATCTCCATCATTATCATCATCATCTTCATTTTAAAATTAATGATATTCGACAAATCCTTTGATGATAGATTCTGGACACAGTGACTGGCATACTTACAGAATCGATACTTTGCATGAACATTATGGATGCCTTTGCTGATTGAACTTTATCGGGGAAGAATTGACAATCTTTCTCATATAATTGCGTAGTGGAGTTAGTTCTGCATTTTCTGGTTGTACAGCTGCCTCCTCGGCATTTATGTACTTTATTCATACCAGTGATGCCTGTGGAGCACCTGAAAACACAGAAGCGAATCTAAGAGACGAGTCAGTCATTCATTTGAAAGTCAGCTTTGTGGCTTGGTGTTTCTTATACACAAGCCACAACCTTGCCGGGCTGATGGCAAAGGCTAAGGGGACCAATCAAAGAAATCATTTGTTGTTCAAGAAATTGTGATGAAAAAAAAATGTAAGGGGGAACTCCATTATACACAGGGGGGTTCTCAGCAGGTGCGGGTCTTTTCCGTAGACATTTCCCCTGCAGGCCTTGTACTGACTGCTCTGTAGGCACCTGGATGCGAGAACTTGTAAACCATTTATCCTTGGTGTTCAGTGTAGACTTCTTTTCCAAGAAGATGTCCTCTGTAGAGTGTGGCATCACATAGTTACATGTGCTTTGATTACTGAAGGAGCATTTTTTTATCCAGAGGAAAGTGTGACTAGAATCAGAGAGTGAGAGGCTGCCAAGAAAGGCAATGGAGTAAAGAATGGCAGATATTTGCATTATTGTATGAGACTGGCATAGGTGGCAGTGATTATAACAGATACACCAGGCTTTAGCCACAACTCGTCTCGTCAGCTTGCAGTTCAGATTCAGCAAGGGAATTCTAGATGTGATCTAGTCATTTAAGGAAGCTCATAAATGCATCCATGACTCTGTATTTCCAAACTTGATGAACATAATAATGTCATCTATCCAATCAGTCGCAATGATTTTCTGTACCAAAAATGAAATTTAGCAGCAGCATGTAAAAAAAAAATAGAATGCACATATTACATTTTAAAACTTGGCAGTGAAGCTTGTGTGGCTCTCTGTAGCATTCACTTCACCCCTCCCCCCCAGTGACAAGTACCCCAAATCAGTGGGACTGAACACTGATGAGGCTGCTGACACCAAGTTTTTAAATTAATTTCTCTGAACTATTCTGATCTCTCAATTTCAGAATCAAGATACTGGTCTGTTACTAACTACAATGCTCTGTTGATATTTTAAAGTGATCTTTATAAACCTCAAGAAGTTCTGAGTTGACTCCTTTCAGCCGCCTGGTTTCTTACCAGCCTTCATTTAACAGTGCTTAGCCACCTTCACTCATTACGGCAATGTGAATAACCTTGTTGTCTCAACATCTGCCTACTCTGAATGAGTGCTGGCATCTATGGGAGAGACATGTAAATAAAACCTGTTAAATTGCCAAACAAATGCTTGGTATTGAAGCTATGTAAACTTTATACAGACTGTCACCATCTAAAATAAGCATAAAACAAGCTTCTGCTAGTGCATCTGTTATCTGCATTGAGACAGAAATGAACGCTTGTCATTGGAAAGTAGCATAAGGCAGTTAAAAGCCTTAGGTCACTTGAAGGTACTTAAGAGCCATGCCTTGTAGCTTCAATTTCCTTTGATGAACCTCTGTAGAATGGCTGGTCTTTGTTGTACTCATCGAATACTCCCCAGCGAAGATGGGCCCACTCATGGACAAACAGTCTTCCTGCAAGAAATATTTTTCAAATACATAATCATAATCAGAATTCAAGTGGCAAATTTCTAGGCCACTGAGATGGCTCAGGGTCTAAAGGTGCTTGCCACCATGTAAGTTCAGTCAATCCTTGGACTCCATGTGGTAGGGGGAGAACTGACTCACAAGGTATCCTTCCCCCTCCGAGAGAGAGAGAGAGAGAGAGAGAGAGAGAGAGAGAGAGAGAGAGAG